AACTGCCTCATCTCCAGAATCTTCAGTTGTAAACTCGTCCTCTTCCTTTTTTGACTTTCTAGAAGATTTCTTGTTAGGTCTTGGCATGTTTTAAATGTTTATTTCACAACCTGACACCATGTAAGATAATATAAAATTCTAATAAATGCTGCAAGTAAAGAATGTGTTTATTATTCAACAAGAGTCATCATCACCACAACAACAAACTAAATTATAAAACATATGTTAAATGCAAAGGCATATGAATGACACTACAAATACCCTACTGGTTGTGGCCCTCTCCTCGACAAGTTATAATTACGTAAAGTGTGTACGATATTTTGTCCACTGCACATGTATACTAGTTCTAATCGTACGTACACTTTATTTTAATTATTTGTTATAACCTCCTATTGTTTGCAATATTTATTATTTATTCTCTATATGCCTATGTTGAAATTATCAATTATCATACTTATCTGTAATAGCCTACTCATATATTTCTTCAACCTACTTGATATTTTTCAACCTTTTATTCAACAAAATTTTCTTGGTCTATTAGTTCTAGCAATATCTTTATAAAAAAATCTAACTAACCTGAACTAACCTAACCTAACCTAACCTAACCTAACCTAACCCAACACCACCCAAATATAATGCATTTAATGAAAAATATTTACAATTCAAAATAGAAACCCACTCATCACCCAACCCCACAAACCCCACTCCTATTTAAAAGAAACAGTATTATGAACCGTAAATCTATAAAACGAACTCCAAACTTGATGAATACGTAATTGGTCTAGAACACAACACCTGTCCCACAAGTAACAGCATTAAACACCTACAGACATACAGAAAAAGCTCAATAAACGTCAGTTTCTTATCACTCAGAGAGTTCATTGTGGAAAGAACCAAGGGCATAATGTTCATATCTTCCATGTATCTGTCAAGCGTACGGGTGCGTGAGGCACTCATCCGTTATTGTAGCAAAGAAGATTACATCTGCCTTTACAATTGCAACACTTCCGAGTTGAGCGAGTACGCCCGAACATTCATTCTGTTGGCTTGCATGTCAAGACCTTCTTTGTTGTCTTCCCTGGCTTTCAATAACAAGCATAGCTTGAAATATTACACTGATTCCTATGTTGAAGTCAAGAACAAGAGCCTCCCTGAATTTGGTGGATATAAATTGAATCACCAAGTGAATCATGGCTGGGTGTCCGAAGCTGTCAACCACATCAGATCCTTTGTGCACTAATACAGATGCCCGTAAGAAACGCCACCTCTACCTCAGCGGTCCAGCTAATATGGGGAAAACTGCGTTTGCGTATGGGATCCTGTCCATAGAAGACCAGCAGCAGAGAATGTTTGTACCGAGCAACAGCTTAGATTTCTTTATGAGCGATTTGGACCCAGCCGTCCACAAATTGATAGTCTTTGACAATAGACAATAGACAATTAATCTTTTACACATTCATTAAGAATAGTAGTAGCGTCAACTTTGACGAATTCACCCCTGAGTTCCATAAAAAGAATCAAATGATGCTAAGCCCCCTCCTCAGCGGCAACACTGTAAGCATCGACCAGTAGTGCCACGGATATGCCATATCTGTCCGTTGGACATCTCCCATCATCATTTGTTCCAACTCCCCAATCCAAGATTACCCGGAAACTTTCCAGACAAGGGTGAAGTCGGTAGTGGCTGACAGGCCTATCCAGGAGTTAATAACCGAATACAACAACGAGTTGGGCGTTGAAGTAGCCTACCCCTCTTCGATTAATGATGTTAGGCCTATAGCCACAGTGGACCATCAGTACTTTGAAAATATATGTTCTTGGAGAACCCCCCGAAGCAGACTCCGGACTGGAGAGTCAGGCGTCAGGCATGGACAAAACTATTTCGCCTGTAGGATCAATAAGTCATTGTCGCAGGACATCACTGAACCAACACTCACAGAGAAGCACCGCTCCATCTGCAACAGGTTCTCAGTCCCACTCGTCCAGTCATCTCAGTACGTCACAACGGTCTACATCTGTACGGTCACACCGTCTATCAGACATCATTGGAGGGCATCATTGGATGAACTCTCAATGAGATGGCCATCCTCGACTGCAACACATTCTCAACCCAGCAACTCTTCACAGCGCAGTTCGCTTTCCGGCAGGGCATCATTGAATGGACACTCACAGCCGAGACCACCATCTTCTGCAACACATCCTAAGCCCCGCCTATTGTCTCAGTCACGTGTACTGCAACACTCTCTGTCCCTACGATTCGACCGTCTTTCTGGCGGGTCATCATTGAACCGTCGCCCCTAGAGAACACCCTCACGTTCAAGTCGTCCCGAAACTTCTATCCTTTCTCAAACCGGCTCCCTCTTCTACTCAAACACGATTTACACAAACCATTCACCGTTTGCTAGCCCGTCACAAAATACCCTTTCCAATCGAAACGCCAATCTCCCATCAACCGACATACGTTCTCTGCCAAGCCCAACCCATCACTCAGTCCCACTAATCATCCAACAACACGAAGTTGTGCTCACCCACAGTAGGATATCGCGACGCAGCTTGTTCAGTGACACCCAGGATTCCGATAATTCCCGCCAATCTCAGTCACACTCCCATGCCACACCTACCCGTCATTCCCGTCATTACAGTTTCACCACGCCCTACTGTCACCGCTCATCGCACCGTTCTCGTTGTCCAATAAGTCCCATATTTTCCCCCATATCCACTTCCACTAGATACTCCCAATCGTCCAACATTGTTAGGACTCCCGCCCACACCATGAATGCTACCCAGCCTATGTTAGCTCCTTTATATGTTGGTCCGTCCCCAATCTATCCCAATTATACTCTACCTCTCCTCATTCAATCACAATTCATTTCCACCTTTACCCAGGGTTATCCCAATAACCAGTAAACACTTAAACGTGCCATTCCCCACCACACTGTTCAGAATAGGGATAAAAACTAAATTATACTGTAACTCTCCTCATTCAATCACAATTAATTTCCACCTTTACCCAGTAACCAGTAACCACATTAACATTTAACCAGTACAATTCATGCATTGCCAAAAATTGAACAAATAATAATAAAAAAAAATAAATAAAAACAAATAAAAACAAATTTCTAACAACATTTTTTTTCCAAAACGCAGGTCCACGGATGAATATGCTCATTGATTATATTGCAACGCATCCACTCGTCCAAGCTTTCATAATGGGAAGGCGGACGACCTACAATCACATCGGGGTACCTGTCAATTCCATGACTGGTTCTCGTACCTTGGGCGGAGTCCTTGCACTCGCTACTCTGCCCAGCGACCCTTCACCCTGTCGCTGTACGAACCTCTCACATGGCAACTGTCAGAACACCCGGTGTCCATTTCAAAACCCTGTGAAGAAGTTGTGGAGGGACCGATTCACCACATGCCTAACTAGCCTTGGCAATACTTCAGCACTCCGCCTTCTCATTATCTACATACGGACTCATCCAGAACACGTGGAACATGTGTACGGCGTGCCATTCCCGATAACAATGTTCAATACCAAATTACTTCACTTTTTTTACTCGTATATTTTCAATCTCGGTTTCAATGTCAACCGGGACTTTGCAAACATCTTCCTGCGACTAACCAACAGCAACTACAGCTATGAGCTACTGGCCCCATTAAACGTACGCGGGAACTCGCAACAAACCCGTCTGTGGCCGTACCAGTACACCGGGCACGAAGTGACACTCATTGAGGAAATTGACGGCGCCCTATTAAACTCCTATGCCTTTGCCTTGGCCCACATCCGTACAGGCACATTCAGTCGACACAACCTCCAAGCCCCACCAACCGTGATAATGGAATGGCTAGCAAAATTCACAATACCGCCCATCATGCTGTTGCCGCCACCAGACAATCCCAACACAATCGTCATTAGTCACTACCCCGATGAAAACACACGTCTCCACCTCGAGAATGGCCAACCAATTGACTCTTCCTCAGACTCCTCAGACCACCCCTCTCCCCCGCCTCGACCCTCCCCCCCACACCATCGTCGACCTTCTACTCCCACTTCTCCAATACTTTCATCCTCGCCTCGTCGACCTTGCCATTCATCCCATCCCCAGCAACCTATCCGCTCTTCACTTCCTGCCCAACTAGACCTTACCCAGCCCTCCACATCATATAACCCTAACCGACCCTCACCACAACCCGCCAACCAGCCAGTGCCCTTACCACGAGAGTGGCTTCCACTGTACCTGAATGCAGCCGTTGGTGCCAGGAATGGCCTAAGGAACCTGAACTTAGCTGAGAACCTGCGGCAGCAACTCATTCTGGAGATGAGCAGCTACCTAATAGCCAACGGCAGGTTGGCAGACCCAGTGTACAGGCCAAATCCAACGGAAGCGGTTCTGGAGGTGGAGTCATTTGTTTGCCGCATCGTCGCCACCATCCACAGGTTCGTTTGCACAAATCATTTAAGTCCAGGCCGCGGCCTTCGAACTGGCAACGTTGCAAGTGGTGTTGTAACAGCTGTTTTTATTTGGAAGCAGCTAATGGTATTTGTGTATTTACGAAAGATTGGTTACTGGACTATGACAATATTGACTCCGCTTAAAAATGTACAGATATAGATTTTAATTCATATTGGTTCGTTTTTCAATTCTGTATGTTTTATTTTCAATATTTTAATAAATTTATGTTCATATATTTAAATTGAAATCAATGAAGTGCGAATTAATGAGCTGATCTCTCCTGTATGCCATGTTATCTTATGGGACGACTGTCACTGAACAACACCACTTGCGACGTTGCCAATTCTGCCAGGCCGCGGCCTGTAGTTAAAGGCGGCCGTGGTATTATTCACTATTCTAGCCTAACCCACACTGGAATCAGCTATCACATTTTTGAATTCGCTGCAATGCAATTGTCCACAGTTGACAATACCACAATAAATGTTATACCTAGTGAAAGAAAAAGTCGAAGACCACCTACTAACTGAAAATGTTTTCTTACAGATACCATTCCCGCAGACCCTCTCCGCAACCAGATGAGGTGCCCACAACACTCCCCTCGTCCAACAACAGCTGGGTTGAGCTGGCTACACCCCATCGGTAAGGATTTTATAGAACAAGCCATAATTCAAGTAGTCTATACAATATTCCGTTTTAATTTATTACTGATTTGTAATGTCCTCACCATCCAACCATCGAGTAAATTAATTTATAATTTCATACAAATCAATGAACCCATACACACACACACACACACCATAGTTCTTATGATTAGTTCTTTAATCAGTAATTGTTATTTTTTTTAAGCCATGATGGCCTGAAGTAGGATCTCTTACGGCCACTGTGGCCTTTCACAAATTTTTACTATATTGTTATTTTTTAAAAAGCCATGATGGCCTTAAGTAGGATCCCTTACGACCACCGTGGCCTTTCACTACTTTTACTACATTATTCATTAGTTCCACCAAATTTGTTAAGCGGTAAGTAAAATACCTATTTAAAGTAAACATTTTTAGCGTTTCCCAAAATTTTATTCTAGCTTTAACTAAATACATGATTCGTACAGCAGTAATATACGACACATGTTACTACTAGTTGAAATACACTTTATATTTGCACTTAAAGTTCCTTTGGTCCAGTAATTTATTCTAATATCTAATTTCCTTCCCCAGGGCTACTTCTACTCCAGCCGAGGCGGTTCCAGGCAGCCAAGTTTCTGCGGAGTTCTCTGCGCACAGCAACTTTGATCATTCTGGAAATCGGTAAGAATTGTTTAGTATAGTTAAACAAGTTGTTATAAACATTCCGTTCATCTTATGTTTTTTTTAATATTTCAGCTTATGTATAATCCCACAGGATAGAGGATACAAAATATGCACGATACTATACAATATCATTGTTAATTAAGTTGATTGTCCATAGATCTGACACATCATCCCCATTCTTTGGATTTGAGAGTGATCCTTCATCTGCTCAGCTTACCTCAGTCGCTCCTCAGGGTCGTCCCGACAGACAGCCAAGTCTCCCCATCTCCGATTCTCCTACCCGTGAGGGGTAAGTTAAAAAGCCTATGTTTTGCAATAAAATTAATTGATCTCAGCCTTTAGTTTGTCGTGCACATTTAATTTTTAAGGTAACACAGTACTCAAATATTATTTTTTTATTTATTTTTATTATTTAGTTTTGTAGAACAGACTTTTCTGAACACGTAGATAATAAATATTAAGGAAGAAAAAAATTATTTTAAAATTTTCAGCTACTTTTATCAACTCTTGCAGCCTAATTTTGCATGCCCAAGGTCCTAGAACTAATCATGACGCGGGGGTACGCCTTCAAATATTAAAATTTTTGTAAATATTTTTTATTATTTAGTTTTGTTGAATACACTTTCCTGAACACGTACATACCAAATATTATGGAAGAAAAAATTATTTTAAGTTATACAGCAACTTTAATACATTCTTACTTTAGCATGCCCAAGGGTCCTACTACTACCCGTGACAGACGGTACTTTTGTCGTTTGCCGAAAGTCAAGTGGTTTTTAGTCAGGTACACTTTTCTCCCTCAATTATAATCCAATTTCAATTAAAGTTGGTCTTTGTGTTCCTCATATGACAAGAAACAATAATACGAATCAGTTTCCATGACAACCAAAAACCTTTGAAATAAAAAATATTTTATGTTAAAAAATTAAAAAATATATCATAAAATCTTTAAAATCATACTAAAAATTTAATTTTGCTCAAAACCTGTTTTTACTTCATATTATTGTTGGTGATAATGTATTAAACTTAGTAAAAAAAAATTCAAGTTGATAGGTTATTATTTGTAAAAGTTATGTGTACCTAAAAACTGCCATTTTAATATGGGCGGGATAGGGAGTACTGTGTCACCTTAAATCTAAGTATAGTATTAAAAAAGTTTAATTATACTAGGATTTAATGTAATAATAAATACTTGTGTCAGGCCCAAACAATTCCACCGACAGTACGGCAAACACCTATTAATTGGGCGTGATAAAGCTTAACATAAGCTTCTAGATACGAAATATTAATTGAATATCAAGAATAAAATACAAAAGATTATAATGGAACAATTGGTTATGGCAGTAGTTGTAAACAGTAGCACGGAAATAAGCTGACGCCCTAGTAATAGCGCTTCATTAAGCTTCTTGTCAATGTAATATTAATTGAATTTTAAGGAGGAAGTGTTAAAGAATCCCACGTATATAATCCGACCCCCTAGTAATAAAAAATAAATATGCGCTCCATGTAGGTATTGTTAAATGGAATATTAATTGAATTGAAGGCGGTATGTCTAAAAAGTTGCACGGACATAAGCCGACCCCCTAGTAATACCGCTTCATTAAGCTTTTTATTCAATGTAACATTAATTTAATTTAAGGAGGCAGTGTAAAAGAGTTTCACGTAAATAAGCAGACCCCCTAGTAATACCGCTTTATTAAGCTTCATGCAAAGGTAATAAAAATTTAATTTCAGGTGTATTATATATTTTATTGATTTTTAGGCGTAAGGTGTATAATGATGTACGATATATATCGTAATCATTCTATTAGGCCACGCCTGGCATTATCTATGAGTCCCTATGTTCATCCCCGTCTACATACTTGTCCTGCATGTTCCAAACTTTTACTGTACACTGATCATACCATCACCTACCAGAAAAGAAAATTGTTGTTGTCTTCTGTTGGCAAATTATAATCTTGTATTGTTTTTGTCCGCAGACGAAACAGTCCATATCGTCGTCGAAACGACAGGGCTCACAGGGCTGGTGAATACAGCCGTTTCTTTCACTTTGCATGGCATTATTAGTTTTCCACTTGTGCCACCGTGGCATTTTTTAAATAGTTTACCTTATTGTCCTACGCTAAATTTTACGTTGTGTTGAAATAAACCTGTAAATATGGTGTTATTCTAATCTTATCTTAGTTTATACAATAATAAATACGAGGACAGAGGTTTTAAAGTACAAGGTTTAATGATACATAAATGGTTAAAATAAGTTTACAAAAGTTTTTCAGGGGTGGGGATTCGTGCAGACTGAATCAAAAGATTTCGTTGATGCCTAATTTAAAATTTTAATAAGTAGGCTAAGTTATAAATTAAATAATCTTTTAGAAACAATAAATAGGAGGATTTTGATTTCGATGAATGGAGGTAAGTTGGGTCTTAATGGATGCTTGAGGAGTCTATAGTCTGAGTTAATAACTTAATAAAAATGGAATGTTCTCACCAATCTTCTGTAATAATAATTGTCTTCTTAGTAATGTAGGCCTAAATTCTTCTTTCTTCAGTTAAATTTGGAAATTTTGACAATACTTTCTTTTATAATTTCACAATTATTTATTACAACTAAGAGTTTAAACTTTTATGTTCTTCTTGGATGCTTTAAACTGCACTGTCCTTTTCATTGTTGTAAATCATCTCCAGTTATGGGGTTCACATAAATAAAAACATGGTTGAATTTTATTAATAATCTTGAACCCAGATGGATGGTGTTCTGATTGGAGGATTTGTTTTTGATAATAATTTTGGATAAGCCAATGAATAAGTTTTGATTATAAATTATATATATGTTGAGACAATATGGTTTTAATAATATTAACAATGAACATGAATAAATATTGAAAATATAACAAGATTGAATTTGGAATTTAAATAAGGACTATATTTATAAACATTGAGTTTTGAGTCATTACAATATCCCCTCAGAAAATATGTAATAAAATTATTTAATAACATGTTTTCGATAAATGACGAAAAAAATACATTTAATTTTATACTAGTAAATAACAAATATTGAGTTGAAATAAAAATATAACAAACTTAAAATTACCTAAGGTTTTAACAAGAACAAATTTCAGTTGGAACAAACATAACAATAAAAAATAAATAAAAAATAATAAATAATTCTAAAATAACAAAATTATAACTATCCCCTCCTATCTTCTACAAACATTAATAACCTAACATTAATTAAAGTGGTTAAAACAATTTTTTTTAACATAATAAATGAATGGAATGAGAAACAAATTTTGATAGATGAAATGAACATGAGACATATACAAGATGAATGATGCTTATAGATAATATGGAATACATTAAATGAATAGTTTTTGATGATTGCTTGATGATAACCTCATATAACTAAATACATTTGTGATTATGACTATAGTTTAACAATTGGAATAGAGGTAACTGGGGAAATTGGCTTGTTCACTCACTGCTTGTTTGGATATGATATAAAATTCTTCATGTTTACAGCAATGTTTACTGGGTTAAGCACACATTACAGTTTATCCTCTATCTTCGGTTATGGTGTGTAGATCGGTTCAATGTATTTCTTCATGAAGGATATATGATAGGGTCCATATAATTTATCATTGTAGAGATCACTTATGTGGTATGTTGATGGTCCAAGTATTTCTCTGATGACAAAGGGGCCTTGGTACACTTCAAACAACTTGGCTGTTTCGCCATAAATAGCTCTGGATAAAGGATGGGATTTTATTAGTACTTTGTCATCGATGTTTAGAGACTGTGGTTGTCTATTTTTGTTCAATCGGTTGGAACGTTTTCTTCTGGTTTTGCTTAGTTTTCTTTCTGCCATCAATAATTTTTGTTCATAAGGCACATCATTGTTGATTGGTTGTTGTAGGTATTCTTCCCAAAATTTGATGTCCTTAATACCATACTGCAACTCATTGGGAGTAAATCCAGTGGATTCATGGTGAATTTCATTTAGACATTGATTTATATCTGGTACTAGCTGGCCCGACAGACGTCGTCCTGTCCTATTGTGGTTTTATGTCACATGCTCGTTCATTTTCAAGATGAGCTCGTTCGCATGGCTCAATCACGTCCTGGTTGAAGTTCGTTCGCTGCGCTCACTTGCCTTCAGGTTAGCTCGTTCGCTACGCTAACTCGCCTCCAGGTTGAAGTTCGTTCGCTACGCTAACTCGCCTCCAGGTTGAAGTTCGTTCGCTACGCTCACTCACCTTTTGGTTGCAAATTAGCTGTTCTCATAAATTAAAAAAAATATAGTGCTGCACCCTGTTGGTAAACCTATTAACTTTTTAATGCTATTGAACATCACAGAATCAAATTGTTTAGCTGCACCAGCTGTTAAGATTCTTTAATTCCATTTAAATATGAGTACTCATAAGGTTAACATGGGAAACTCCAGAGCCACTGGGGCGGAGCCCTATTGACGGATCTGCACCAAACTTCACACAAACCATCCTTGAATAATGCTTAATAATGCCTAAAAGTTTCATTGCAATCTGTAGAGCGGTTTCGGAGTCCATAAAGGACAAACATACAAATATACAAACATACAAATATACAAATATACAAATATACAAACATACATTGGATTTTATATATATAGATATATTTTACCCATTTTTGTTGTTGTTTAGAACAGTATGTCCTTAGACATCTTTTGATTTCTCTTATTGGTATCTCTGCTAAATTGAAAAAGGGGTAATAGACAGGGTTGTGTATAGGTGTGATGTTCTCTTTCTCTAATCTTGAGGTCCATTCATGACTTTTGAATTGTGTGCCATTATCAGTTTGTATACAGTGGGGCTTTCCATGTTCCGGAATATGTATATTAAATAGCTTATTGAGTATGATTTTAGTAGTGGCTCTCTGCATTGGGTAAAGTTTAATGAATTTTGTGAATACGGTATGTCAATGATCAGGTATTTTACATTTCCAACACTTGTAGGAAAAGGGCCGATGATATCGATAGCAAGTTGGGCATTCTTACTGCGACATGTGATCCCTTTGGCGATCGCAGTTATGTGTTTGTTGCTGATTTTACATATTTGGCAAGTATCGCATGTAGATAAATACTTCCGAATGGTTCTGTTCATATTCTTGAAAATAAAAGTTTTCTGTAGTAGCTGAAGACATTTTTTGGCCCCGCAATGTAGATAATGAAAAAGACATTCCCATATCAGGTGTGGTATCATGATTGTAGGTACTCTGATTAACCATTTATTGCCCAAGTGTTGATAAAGGATGTTATTATGAATTTTAAAATTTCTCTGTAGCTTTTGTGCTGTTGTAGTATCTGGATTATCATGAATTGTTTCAATGATTGTCTGTAATTGGAGGTCTTCTTGCTGCAACTGGGGTAGATTTTGAAGGTCTTCACGAAGTTGTGGGTCCGAGGTTCTTTCTATGTAGTGGATAGTTAATTCATTTGTTATTATTATTATTTTATGGCCAGCATTGGACCACTTAAGTCAATATAAAGGTCAGGTTCTTTTTAAATTCTGCCTCTTCTTCTTGTCCGCCCAATACTTCTTCATTCTTTCCGACCATTGTTTTCTTTCTTCTTCCGAAACCACTCTTCCTTATCTCTGATTGTTTGCTCCTATTGGCAGGATGATGTTTTTGTCTTTGAGTACTGCAAGCGCCTCTGACTTATTTTCCAAATCTTCTAATGATATTTTCTGCCTTCTCATGTCCTCCTTAATCTCTGTAATCCACCTAAAGTCACTCTTGCTATTCCACAATCTGTCAATTATTTTCTTGCTTATTCTATTTTCCGGTGTCCTTAAAAGATGTCAAATGAATGAAATTCTTTTCTTTTTAATTATACTTGTCAATGGCTCTATTTCCTTATATACAGTTTTATTTGAGGCCAGTCTCCAAACTCCATCTTTTTGATATTTTTTGTTTATACATGTTCTGATGATTCTTCTTTCTATTTTCAGTATTTTATCTATTGTTACAGTGTTGGTTGTTTCAAATATAGTTTCACTTGCATATGTTATTTGTGGAAGTATGACTGCTTTGTAGTGTTTTAATTTTGTTGCTATTGATAGGAATTTTTTGTTGTATGTGTTTTTAGTAATATGTTGCATTCTAATCAATTTATTAATTCTATTTTGCCATGATGGATTTTCTTTAAGATTTTATGTTATAACTTCACCTAAGTATTTGAAATTTTCTGCAATTTTGATGCAATGTTCTCCAATTTTGATTTTGTTAGCCAACGGTGGTTTTGTTAACATTATTTCAGTTTTCTCAAAAGAAATTTTTAGACCTATGCTCTGGGCTATTTCCTGAAGTGATTTTATTTGTTGCTTGGTTTCTTGGATGTTATTAGCTAGAAATTCATTAGTTATATTACATGAATCTGTTTGTTGGTTTGGTAGAATCCGGCTGAGAGTATCGGCCGTTATATTTTCAGTGCCCTTGCAGTGGATTATTGTGAAATTATATTCTTGGATAGCTAAAATCCATCTAGCAAGGCGGTTGTTGAGGAGTTTGCAAGTTTTTAAGAAAGTAAGGGCATGATTATCAGTTATGACTTTCAATTTGGTACCTAATATAATGTATCGAGATTTCTGTAGACAATGAATTATCGCCAATAATTCTTTTTCTGTGGTAGTAAACCGTTGCTCTGCAGGCTGTAGCGTTCTGGACATAAACATGATAGCAGCTTTATCTCCGTTTTCTTTGATTTGATACAGGTGACTTCCGATGGCGATGTCTGAGGCATCAGTCTGTAAGTAGAATTCTTTGGCTGGGTCAGGATGATTTAATACACTGGTTTGCAGGAAAAGTTGTTTGATCTCATTGAAGGTGATGTCATCTGCAGGTGTCCAGACAAACTTATTCTTTTTAGAAGTTAGTCGCAATAAAGGTTGAATTGTAGTGGAGAATTTATTGAGAAATTTATTGTAATAATTAATACAACCAAGGAATGATTTAAGTTGTGTTCTGTTCTTTGGTATAGGGAATTTTAAGATGGGGTCTACCTTGCTTTGATCTATTACAAGTCCTTCTTTTGTCAGTGTGTACCCGAGGAATGGTACTGATTCTCTGCAAAACTGAGATTTGTTGAAGTTGATGGTCATGTTAGCTGATTGAAACTTCTCAAAGATGTATTCTAAATGTATGAGGTGTGTTTCAAAATCTGGTGAAATGATACATATATCATCTATGTAGATCGCAGTGAAGCTTTCTACGTCCGCATCGAAAACTTGGTCTAAAGCCCTTACTAAGGCTGCTTGTGATGTTGAAATTCCAAATGGTGTAACAGTATACTGGTATGTTTTACCACGGAATTGGAAAGCGGTGTACTGACGAGATTCAAGTGATAAAGGTATCTGCCAGTAGGATGCAGTAAGGTCAATACTACTGATAAATTTAGCATTACGGCATTTACTTAATATTTCATTTACACTGCGGTTACACTCGTAATCCGGTACAATTATGTTATTTGCTTTACGTGCGTCCAGACACAATCTTATTTCCCCTGTTTTCTTTATTACTGGGATGATTGGGTTAATGAAGGTACTCTTACTTCGTTCTATTACTTTAATTTGCTCCATCCGATTTATTTCCAGTTCTACGGCAGTTTGATACTGTTGAGGCACTGGATAAACAGTTGATTTAAAATTATGTGGATTATTAACTTTCAATTCATGAGTATATTTTGTACAACGACCTGGTTTTTCTGAAAAAAAACTTGTTTATATTTAAGTAATAAATTGCTTAATTTTCTCCTTTGTTCCCCATTGGTATAATCATTCTCCATCAGTGACTTGTTAATCATTTCATCCGTCAGATCGGTGTCCTCACGTTGTGTTCTTTCCTGTGTAAGGGATATTCTTCATACACTGTAAAATGGTTTTCTTCATTGTTATAATAGTTATCATATGGCATTTATTTGGCAATCGCTTATATCTATTTGACATACTTGTCCCATTTTAATACTCATATCACATTTTAGATTAATATCAGTATCATTAATTGTTAAACTTAATTTATTATCATTAGAAACTATCTTTAGTCGGAGTTCTGTTAATGTGTCCATACCAAATATCACAGGTTTAATTAAATTAGGTATGATAAGAAATTGAAGCCAGATGGTCTGATGTTCAATGGTTACAGGGGCATAAATGATTCTTGCAACACGTTTTTATTTTTCACCTGTAGCTTAGACTTACTAGCTTTATTGTATTGCTTGGGTAGCTTTATTGTTGTATTAGACAAAGAAAGTTCTTCAAAAGGTTGAATTATTTTTTGATTCTCTTTGAAACATTGTTCGGAAATACATGTTATTGTAGAACCAGTATCATTTAATGCTTTTGTTGTGAGATGATTGATTCTAATATCTATTTATTTATTTATTTATTGTTTTTCTCTCAACGGTTACACCATTTTACAGCAAATACATTATAAGTTACATGGTGTATCTAATAGGCCACAAAATATTAAGCAACAGTAACTACTCTAACAATAAATATACAATAAATAACAAATAATATAACAATAACAAAAGCATAAAGAGATTTGTACATATTAACAATAATAATATCAACAATTTTGACTAGATCTATTTCAGGGCATTTAACTGGTTTGGATACAGGAAATTTATTATTTTCAATGGGTTCGTTTAATAAGAAATCTTGATCACAAATTATATTGTTTATCGAGAAATTGAAAGGGTTATTGGAATAATTAATTATT